ACAGCACCGTGACCAGGATAGGTTTGCATGTGGGGGAAAAATATGAAACATGAGAGAAGGAATCTGAAAAGCTTTGGTAATCCTGTCCAGTCTGTAATAGTGTGTCTTCTCCTAGATTAAGTTCAAATGAGTTTATATTCTTTGAAGTGGGGATTGGTTTGTATTAAACTTGTACTGAATTTACTTTGCGATACGGTCAGAGGGTGTCTGGTTTTTGGACTGAAATGGTTAATGTACAGAAATGAGTAATTTTTAGGTTTTGAATCTATTTCACATAGATCTGTTGTCACTAGTGTGGCTTGTGATGACTGCATTTTCAGTGTCATTGGAGTGTTTGATACACAGTGTCCTTTTCTTTTCTGAGTATCACCAAGGGAGTATATTTAGCAGTTGATTTGAGAATATGTCAACCAGCACACAGAGCTGGTTCAGTAAAGTAAATTTGGGACATACGAAACAGAGACATGTTCAGCCATGTAAGCAGTTCTACCATTAAAGCATCTTGCAGAAAGCACAGTTAGGGCCATCTTGTGAGGCAAGCAAGCATTGTTTTATGCCCATATATGCATTGGTGATGCCTTATGGAGTGAGAGGTATGCTGGGCTGCGGGTGTTGAAGCAACAGCACCCAGCCTAATCCAGCCAACTTTGGCTGGAGCCAGCATGAAGGGAAATTGAGAGCATGCAGTATGGGAATATTTAGTGGCTTTCTGTCCATTTCCTTGCCACCCAGCAGCTGGAGATGCTGCAGCTCTGAGGTGTCTCCCAGTATGGCCAGGACTGCTCTGTGTCTTGACCAGGCAGTCTGCTAGTAGGAGAGAATGGGTGTGGACCAGAGTTGTTCTGGGGCTTCCCATGGGATGACAAACTTTTCTGATAGAGTTGCTCCTTCCCTTCTCCAGCCAGCTTTGGGCCAACAGAATGGGTAGCTGTTAAGGTCCTTTCCAACCCTAACCATTCTGTGAGTGCGTGTGAGAGAGTCATTCTTCTGATTTGTTGGGGATGTGAACATCACCTTAAAGATGTGCAAGGAACACTTGTCATGAATTCAGCTTTTCTCTAGTGAGTTGTACATTCTTGTCCACAGTTGTTGAGAAACAATGAGCATATCCCTTTTGATGCTTTGCACAAATGATCTCTGGCAGCAGCACGATGTCACAAGTGGAGCTCTTGTTTATGCCTTTTGGTGCAGCTTCAAGAAAATGCCTACCCTGTGCTACCTCCCATAAACTCATGGAAGGCTGTCCCAGCTTTGTCTGCATGGTTTGCCCAGCCAGGGTTGCAGAGTTCACACTCACATGTTTCGCTTGAATGTGAAGCTGTCACCCCATATCACAAGTGTCCATGGCCATTTAATTTCGCCAGGGCCTACTTGAAACATGCCATGCTAAGACTAAGCAGCTTGTTTTGGATGTGCACTTTGCCTTTCCAGCTGGCTTTGCACAGATCAGTGGCCTCCAAATAAAGTCTCTAGATTTATACTTGAATGGTTTAGGAACCTTAGTTACTGTCAAAAAGCTGTTCAGCTACTGCCTGAACAACTGTCTGTTGTCTGACTAGCTGCAGGCCACTTCCATCTGCTGTGCTGGACCTAAAAAACCCTTAGAGAGGCCCTGTGGAAGGACTACATGTGGATCAGATCACTCCACAACCTACCAGCACTGGATCAATCACACTGGCACAGATTTAAGTCACACAGCTGGGGGTGCTTTGCTGTTACATGCATGGGAGCAATTTTGGTTTCTGTGTTCATAGAAATATTGATTGGAGTGAATGTCTATGGCTTTGTCTGGGTAAGTGTTGAAAATCCTCCAAGGACTGCACTTCCACAGCTCTTATGGGAACCTATTCTGGTTGTGCACCACTGCCCTAGTAAAAAAATTCCTTCCTAATGTCCATCCTGAACCTCCCAATTCACAGCCATTGCCTCTTGTTCTATTATTTCTATTATTTGGCCCCACTAAGAAGTATTTTGTTCTCATTGCAACACCCATCAAGTAGTTGTAGGAATTTCTTGGAATTGTTGCAGTTTCCTTGGAATGAAGATTATCCAGTGTGAACAATAGGGGTTTTTGTTTCCTCTTTTTCCCCTCTGCATCTTAGTATTGCATTTCTTGGTGCGCTGAAATGGATTTGCATTTGGGATTTCATACATATGGAGAAGCTTATTGACCATTATTTAATAAACTCATTTAACACAGTTTCAAAATTGGTTAGGGTCAAAGAGCTTAATTTACTTTTGCATGGCAGCCTTTTCTGGGGGAAGTGGTGAACCATAGCTCACTGGCTTGCATTGCTCCTGCCTTTCACAGCCAAGCACTGGAGCAAACTGGAGTTTCTGAGGACTTAAATGAACTTTTAATGGATGCCTTGTACTACAGGGAAGTTCCTAACACCACTGTTAAGTTGCTGCTTTGCCCACCACATTGTGGGACTCCAGGGTTCATTTTGCTCTTGGCTCTCAAACATGTGCCAGTATTGCCCATTAGGGTTTACATGGATTCAAAACCTGATCAGGGCATTTCCAGCTGGAAATGTTAGTAGTCAGCAAGAGTCTGTCTGCTTTATATGAATGGGGTGAACCACCCGACTGCTCCTAGACATGGCCACTGCTGTGGAACACTGACCCAATCTATGGGCTTAGTTATTCATTTTTATTAAGCATTAGAAGAGCTGTAATGCAGATTTATAGGACCATGTGAGCTTGCTAATGGAGAAACAGTGAACTCTTGAGCAGCTGAAACCCTTTCATCATCTGGCACAAAGGAAAACATGGTAGATCAGAGACAGGTCATGCATGCACCTCTTTCTGTGTGTGGGGCTGTCCCTGAAACAGCTGCAGGCTTCAGGATTCAGGTTTTGGATGGCTGTTTTTCTTAGATCCTGACCTTCCCTGGTAAATGCAGCACCAGTGACGAGGGGGATGTTTCTGTGCATCCACGTGAGCTAAGTGTCCGCTTCTCCAGGCACCAGTGTCCTGACCTGACACCATCCTTGTGTGGGTGAAGGTGTGACAGGCAGGTTTTGAAGCTAATTACCCAACTACAACCACACTTCATGCACTGATATTGTTGCCCCGTTGCTCTGAGACCAGGCTGCTGGGTTGTTTTTTTCTTGGTTGTTTTCTAGATGGAATTTGAGGCATGAGCTGCAAAACACAAAGCAGCTCCAGCCACGATCACCTCTGTGAGTGCCTTTCCCTCATCCAGTGGGCAGCTGAGGAAAAGCAAAAGCTGTCAGGTCCCTGCAGAAAAAGAGAGAAATGAAAGCTGGCAGCGTCTGTATGTTACAACTTATCTGCTGTGGAGCTGGAGTTCCGTGTTCCTGCTGGTGTGATCTGTTAACACAACACGCCTGGAATGTTTTCTTACATTCTTACACTTCTTTTGCGATGTGCTAAATGAAAGACGGGGGGATATTTACTCCAGACCCACAGGAATTGTGTGGGCTGGTTTTCTGCTTTTTACATTCACAATCTATGCCATCGATCATGCTGCTTGTTGTGTTTCAACATATGAATTAGCCACATAAACATGCCTGCACTTACGTAAAGACCTGCATTAAAGCTGGTGATTTATAATCTTTAATGGATTTATAGGTGCTGAGTAATTAAATGTAAGCTCCCATTAAAAACAAACATGAAGTTAGAGCAGGTCTTTTAGCAAGTGTGTTTATTACGTTTAGTCCTATCAACTGCTAGTGCTTAGAATGCCTTAAAACAATGTTTTAATACTATGCGTTTCAGTTCCTCTTACTGGTCAGTTAAAATGCTTTCCTTAGTGTCAGTCCTGTGATGCTCTTCTCCTGTGAAGTCCTGGTTTACCTGGTTGGCAGGTAACAGAAAAGAATTAGTGCTTTAAAACTACTCACAGCCTGTGCCCTCACACCCTGGTGATGATTCTGTTAACTTCCCAGTTGATGGTAAGGAAGTGCACTAACTCCTTACGTTCTCCCTGCAGCAGGCAGACTTTCTTCAAACAGCAATAGAGGCAGAGAAGTTGAGTATGTAGTCCGGCTTCATTAACGTTCTCCAGGATTAATATTAAGTAGATCTCAGATCAACAGTTCTGTTTATTCCTCACTAGACTTTCAATTAGTCCAAGTATATTGTTCATTCCATTTCCATGTATTTAACTCTCTGTTTACTGCTTGGATACTATTCTTGTCCTCTGCCACATCCTCCTTTATCTTCAGTCCCCACTCTCTTGTCAGCTGTCTAAATACAGTTGCATCCAAGTTGTGCTGAGTGACGCAGATGATCTCGTGTGTCTGTAGAGGCCATTTAAAAACTAAAAGATTATTTCAGTTTAGTCCTGGAGCGAGTTTTTATATTTAAACCCAAATCAGCCAGGTGGTTGTTGGGTGCTGCAGCCCCAGGAACAGACATTCACCTGATAAGGATTTTCTGTATAAGTACCTATATTCCCTATTTCTGGCATTTTGCTATTTGAAAGCTCAGTGTCCCAGTAGCAGCCACAAGGCACCTGTGAACTGATGGGGCAATTTCTGTGCATATTTATCCCAGTCTTTGTTGCTGTTGTTTCAGTCATAGCATTTAGGTGGTGAAGTTTAGAGTCTTGCAGTTAAAAACAAACCACGGGCCTGAACCAAGTCTGTCATCAGTTTTCTCTTGAGAATCACATTTTGACCAGTATTTCCTTTTTCCCCTGAGTGGCTTGAAGAAGGAATTAGTGATTTTATGGAACTGCTCTTTGGTTTCCTACCTAATACATTCCTGATTTATAGGCAGCCAGAACATGTGAGTGTGCAGTCATTACTGTATTTTAATTAGATTTTATTTTGCTTTGGTTTTTTTCCCCATTAATTCTCAAGTGGTTGTCACATTACACTAATCATTGCAATTACACACGTGTAACTTGTCATTCAGTGCATATTAAATCCTCTGCATTTCAAACAGTGCTGCTGGATTCTGGTTCTGAACTGATTGTTTAACAGAAGGTTCATTTTTGAGTAGAAGCATTAAATTTCCTGCAAAGTGTGTTTCCTTCATGCAGCATCGAGCAGATTTGAACAAGATGGTTGTTCATCTCACACTTGTGATCTACTTCTCTTATTATTAGCTTTGTGGGGGATATTGGTACACTCCAGGTCATTGCTTTGTTCAGTCTGTAACAGGCTGGAGGAAAGGAAGATATTAGACGTGTTGCTCATATAAGCGCTTCTGCATCCGTTTCTATCCCATTGCAAAATGGTATGGATCAGTGTATTATAACCAGGAGAGAGTTTCTTCTGGATTTAGGTGTAGAGATGCTCACATAGTGTTGTTTGGTTTGCCATTGCCTTGCTTTGGGTAGTTGAAGCCACTGTTTCACAGACTGTTGTATTGCCAGCATCCTTCTCAAAGACAGTCAAAGTTTGGGAACCAAGCATCTGTAGAAATAACTGCTTTGCTGATGCTCTTTTTACTGATAGTTTTAATGTCATTAGTAAAGGAGAGATTGTTGAGAGCAGCAGTAGTTATACTTGCAAGGGAGTGTCAGAGAAAGCAGGACCCAAAATGGCTGGGTGTATTTTCTCTTGTGTGTTGATAATAAAGGTTTTCATGGCTGTACAGTGAGAGAAGCAGCATCTCCTCCTCGGGGGGGGGGGGGGGGGGGGGGGGGAATGTGGGTCAGGATGGGAGGAGAAGGGGCATTAGGACCTCCCTGTTACAATGCATTGATAAACCTTGTCTGGAAGCAGCAATGAGTTGTGCAGAGCTGCATGCATGCCCTTGTCTTGTGTACCAGGAATGTGTCCTATCTCGTTGGGAAGGGCTAATGAGGGAGAGGGAAGCTGGGGTCTGCAGCCCCCCTGCTCGCTCTCACAGCTTCATCGCTGATGGCAAAAATCACTGTTGGGGTGAAGTCCCAGTTCTCCTTCCTTACCCAGTCATAGGCTCAGTGTGCAGCCTTGCCTGGGTTGCTCACATCTCCCCCTTCGTTAAGATGGGTCTACCCAGGCTGAGCAAACAGCTTTGCAGTACAGATACGAACCTGCTGTCTGCATGTGCTAAGCAGTGTTAACTGCATTTCAAGTGACCTTTAGGTCTGAAGCTTTGCCAAAGGGAGGGGAAAGGAAGCCACCATTGAATCGAGTTGTGCACAGAGCTCCTGCAAACAGATGGTGTTTGCATATAGGATGTGCTGTTCGGGTGCAACTTCACTACAATGCTCTTCATTTTTAATCATTTCAGGCGGGCTAAACTCCGGCTATATTTGGAACAGCTAAAACAGCTCGTGCCGCTCGGGCCGGACAGCACCCGGCACACCACTCTAAGTCTGTTGAAAAGAGCCAAGATGCATATCAAGGTAAAAACGTTCATTCATCCTTTGATTTCTTTTAAAGCAGAATCTTCCAGAATCCATAGAAAGGAAGCTAATTTTCACACAACTCCATATCCATATGTCTGATCTTCTGGGTATATTGGCCTTTATTAGTTGCAAGGATTTCAGGCACAGCATCAAGAGTTTGCAATTTACCTGCAGTCTCAAGATGTATAAAACAGTGATTTATGTGATTTCTGCTTAGTTGCTAATAGTTTACATTCAGTTTAATATCTGTATCAGAGCTGTTCTTTGATTAATAGATGTATTTTTAAGAACTAAGTAAAGTAGCATTGTACTTTACTGATTTCAATGTAAAAAGCCAGATCTATTCATGATCAAAAAATCTAATGGAGTCAAAGGAATTATAGCTACTAGGAAGCCCTATCCCCATCCCACATCTTAATGACCAGATCCTGGAGCATTTTTTAATCATTTAAAAGAAACCAAAATGAAATCCACTCTCCTGTTTGTTGCCTCTCCCTTGCATGGGTGGAACAAGAGTAGAACAAAACCCAAAATCTCACCTGTGATCCAGCAGCAGCACAGGTTATACACCGGCAAAGGTAATTTCAAAGGGAATTATTCCTCAGGCCTCCTCTCTTAAAGACACCTTCACTCCCATTTTCACTGTCATCGTTTTCAGGAGACCAGGGTTCTGTGCAGACATAAGACAAACAAGTATTCAAATGTAAAAGTTAAAGAACAGGTTTTTGCTGCCGTGTGCAAGGCTGGCATTTTTTTCAGTGTTAGAGGGAAACAGGTCAAGAGAAGTGTCAGGAGAGGTGAAACAGTGCCGGTGATCATGGAGTGTTTTGGAGATCAGCCTGCGGTTGCACAGCACTGAGATCCACTGCAGCTGCAGGAACGTGTGTGATTCAGATGAAGAATTAAAGATTAACTTAAGCAAAACCTTTCTTGTGAGCAACTTTACTGAGCCCTCAGAAGCAGACTGACTCCAGCTGGGCAAGCCCTGGTTTTACCATTTGAGATTTCAGCCTCTTGTTTATAATGGAGGCTAGCATGCGTGAAAGGCACTGCATGTGGGTTTTGTCTCGGGCTGCCCCCCTGTCATGGGCTTATGCATACAAATTGAAGAACTGTTTTTACAAGTGGCAAGTGTGAGAGATTAGCCATGTAGTCACCCTGTCAGCTGCTGATAAAAACAGCTAGGAGCAGATTCCGTCCAAGTCCATCGTGCTCGGTACAAAGTACTTGTTCTTCTGAAAACTGAGGCTGAAGTTTAACCTTCTCTTAGATTTTAACTGAATCTGCCCTAACTGGGGTGCCACTTAATTGCTCCCCTTCATCAGGCAAGCTGCCTCCCCGCTGCACCACCAGAGCATGCCAGTGCCTCTCTGCCATTTCGAATACAGTCATTAGCTTTGAACTTTTCACACATTCACCCTCCCCATATACTGCAGCTTGCCCTGAAGAATCAGATGGTTTTGAGTCTCCTGGATCTGAATCACTGAGCTCATTCCTAAAATAGTTGTTAAAGTGTGGGATTGCAGCCAGGAAAGTACAGGGAAAAGGAAATCTGATCAATTGGGCACAGTTGGTTTGTTGCGTACGTGGATGTGCCAACCCGTTTTCTTATTGTGTATCCACGTATGATGTGTATCTACAGAGTGTATTGCCTGGGAGGGGGCTGCAGAAGTTAGATTTCATTCAGCCAGGAAACTGCTCAATTCAATAGTGTCAATTGGGTTTTTTTTCCAAAGATAAATACTTTTGCTCTGAGGCTGGCACTGGAACAGCCAGACCTCTGGAATGGGTTTGGTTGTGATTTGCTGTGCACTGTGTCCCCCTGCTCTCCTCAGGAAACCCAGCAGAGGTTCGCTCAGCAGGGAGGGACTGGCAGCAGCTGTGCTCAGTCCCTGCACATCTCCTAAATCTCAGTGTCCTGTAAACACAGCTCAAGCAGAAACAGGGTCTTTCTTACAAGTGCTTTTGCTGCTACAACATGTAATTCACTTCATTGGTTAGGTAATTCTGTTAAATGATACGAGGCATTTTTATTTCTCTGTCCTTCCTGCTCTTGATCCCATCATACTCATTACGCTTTCTTCACTAATTACATAGTAATTTCTTTTAAATGGCTATCAGTGATTTGGAAGAGGGTTCAGCTGAAATCTTAAAACACACTATTTCTGTTACTGCATTTGGACCAACAGTGCAGCACATCTTACCAGGTGTGAAATATTCTATTTCCATAACTAATACTGTCTTTTACTCAAGCAGAGGGGAGATTTTAGGTACATGTGTGGAAGGAACCTTTCACAGGCTGTTTGCTGAGAAGTTTTGGATTAATACCACTGATTTTGTAGGACATTGTCACCGAGTTATAGTATTTGCTGTGCTGCAGTTCAAGGAGGGAAAAAAACAGGCAAGAATAAAGAGAATTGTTAGTAAATTCCTCCTACTGTATATAATTAATACTGCCTATTGTTAATGAAGCTTTTTAAATGTTAAAAATTTCCATGGCCTGCAGTAGGAGGGAGAGCACTCGGGAGGCTGCAGTGATTCCCGCATGGTGATAAGCCTCTTATGTCACCTACAGAGGCGTTATGTTCTGACTGAAACCTGAGCTACACTCCAGTTATCAGAGATGGTGCCAGCTTTGCCTGACAAAGTAATTTAAAGATTCCCCACAACCAAGGCAACAATGATTTGGTTTTAGCTGAGGAGCGGCTGCTGGTGGCAAGAGAATCGCTGAGAGATTTTGGGGTTCTTTTTCCCCATATATTCATGTATCTTATTGTGAAATTCAGCTCTGGCCCAGCCTGCTTAAATTGTACTGACTTCTATAACATTATAATTTAAAAAAAAAAACAACAATTTAAATTTAATTTAAATTTTGAGTTAATGAAAACATTTAAACTGCTTTAAAATTACTGCCAGGTTGTACAGAGTCTTAGGCGATATTGTCTAGAGTGAGGCACCCCTGCCCATGGCAGGGGGCTGGAACTAGATGGTCCTTTCTAACCCAAGCCATTCTGTGATTATATGATTCTATGCTACTGTTCATGAGCAGATTTTCAGTTACCTGGGTTTTAACATGATAAAACCTGTCAGCTCACTGGCTTTCTTCTCCCTTTCAGAAATTGGAAGAACAGGACCGAAAAGCTCTAAATATTAAAGAACAATTACAGCGGGAGCACCGCTACCTCAAGCGCCGGTTGGAGCAGCTATCCGTGCAGGGCATGGAGCGCATCCGCACTGACAGTATGGGATCAACAATATCCACTGACTCTGAACAAGGTAATTGAACGAGGGCTTCCCAAAGGGACTTGCAGGAGCTGGCAGGGAAAAGTAAACAGGGAAGCAAGAAAAGCATTTAGAACTAAATCCAAGGTTTCAGCAAAACCCTGGCAAAATAGTTCCATTGTGTGATTTGCAGGATGAAAACCTACTGCGTCTCTTTTACATGCTTTGGGAAATGTTTTCTTTTTCTAAGCAGTTGTGAAGCATTAGTACTGCTTGGATTTTAAAGCTGGCCACACTGCATGTGGGTTTGCCAGTTTTTTGAACAATTAGAATTTAATGTTCTGAATTTTTAGGGTAATTATTACTAAGGCTGGAATAATATCTTCTTCTTGGGGAAAAAAAAAAGATCTTACTGGTCTTAATCCATATGTGTGAATAAATGAATTCCACATCATTTATTGTGAAAGGAGGAAAATTCTTTCCTGTTAGGGTGGTGAGGCACTGGAATGGGTTGCCCAGGGAAGTTGTGAATGCTCCATCCCTGGCAGTGTTCAAGAACAGGTTGGATGAGGCCTTGGGTGATATGATTTAGTGTAAGGTGTCCCTGCCCACGGCAGGGCAGGGGGTTGGAACTGGATGATCTTAAGGTCCTTTCCAACCCGAACTATTCTATGATTCTGTGATTCTAAACGTTAAAGTATTTTCTCTGTATCAATCACCAAGTGTTTCTATATCTGGTTCTCGCTGAGGACAGAGCTCTTCAAGCTGCCTGTCACTGTCCCTTATTTCATGATGTGAAGTGTTTCTGTGCGTGAGCACCGGCGCAGGCTGACTGTGTCTCACTGCCAGCGACACCTGCATTGGTTGGAGTTATGATGAGCTGCAGTGCCACAGCCTTGGAGGGTTGGGGTGTTTTATAATCAGTGTCAGTGCACAGGTTGGAACAGTTCTGGGACAGCATCTGGTACTGATGCCATGCAGTATATTTATGTGGATGAGGACAGAAGGGATTTTAATTCTCTGGTGGACAAGATCATCCCTTCCCCGGGAATTACCGTTCCAGTTTTCTGTTAATTACAGAAAATGAAGTATGATTCAGGTTTCACCTGAACACTGATTGACACTGGCCCATGATTACTTGCTACAGCTGCTGCCTTTCTGAAAATGTGCCTTCTTGTGTTCTCTTTAGAAGTAGACATTGAAGGAATGGAGTTTACTCCAGGTGAAATGGACAGTATTGGAAGTGCCAGTGATGCTGAAGACCACTACAGTTTGCAAAGCGGTTCGAGTGACGGAGGCTACACACATTCCCGCAGACTGAATGCCAGGCTCTCATAGTGCCTGAGTTCCCCGCTCAACTCAGGACCATCTGACTGAAGCACTTATATGAATATTCCAGAGTTGTCAACTGCCACTCTTCCAGGAAACCCCAACCACAGTACTCTGACATGGAGGTTTCTTAACCCACGGTTCCCTGCACTGTAACCACAATATTAGATATTGTAAATCATGGGTTTGCTGCAGAGAACTGTGGTTAGGTACAGTTGTGACTTAAAGCTAGCTTGATGTAGCCATACTGCAAATTAAAGAAAATAAATTATGTCATTCCATTCAAGAAGTATTAAATTCAACCTGTTGGAAGCATGGCGTGAGGGAGTTTGACAGTTATTTTGAGTTTTGCAGAAACCATTTTCAAACATGGAAGAATAAATGGAATCTACAATGTGTCAATGATTCAGAGAAACGAAACCCTAAAACTACTTTTTGTGGTATTTTTTCATGATGAAAACAAAACCCAAACCCACAACATTCTGAAGGCTGTAGCGGGCTCTGTAGAGTAAATTCAGCAGCTGCTGTTTGGGTGAAGAAGGCAGATAAATCTTCAAATCTCAGATGATCTTTAGAAAAGGTCATATTTACAAGTCACTACTGTACTTCAAAACGGGGAAAAGCCAGCTCTAATAATGACTTCATGTGGGATGATCTCAACTTTCTTCTGCTTTTTTTTGTATTCAGTATCCAACCAGCAGCAAATCATTCTGTCCACGTTAACAGGAGCAGCAGAAAGCAGTGCTGCAGTTTCAACCTGTTACCGTGGAAGGGATGAAACTGAAGCATTTCAGTGTTTTTTTGGGTTGTTTTTCCATTTCTTTGTCTGAAGAATACAGAACTCAAGTGATCCAGTTTGCAGTAGTTAATCTTTCCTTGCAAGGAAGTGAAATCTCTGGCTTATATTTTCTTCTATTTACTCATGTCAGTACATCTTTATGGAAGACATGGCTTAAAATTACAGTATTCAGCTAGAAGATAATTAATTTTTTTTTCTTTTGCACACTATAATTGCATTTTCTATTCTTAAAAAAAGTGCAAAAAAATGAAAACGTATGCTGTAAAACAGCAAAGTTTATTTAGTACTCATCAAGCTGTTCAGAACATATTTACCCAACTTGTAGCAATACTATGAAGCTGTATTTTAATACAACTTCTGCTTAGTGAAGTCATTAGAGCTTGGCTTGCCGGGTAATTAAAAAAAATGGACCAGTCTTTGCATTATCTGTTTAAAGAAGGTCTTTTAAAAAAAAAAAAAAAAAGAAGGAAAAAAAAGAAAAAAAAACTAAAAAAAAAAAGAAAAAAGCTATAAACACTTTTAGGGAAGTGATTTTAGCAAGTGTAGTCTATATTTCCTGTAAGAGATTTTGTATTATATTTTCCTAAATGTTCTCATTTACTTGTATAGGGAGGGGAATGGTACAGACCCAGACCAGAGTCTCAGGGACTCTTCACCTTTGTCATATTGTGCCTTGGTGACCATTTATGTATGCCTCTCCTTCTCATTGTTTAAAGGACAACTAAGCTTTGTTTCGAGACCCTCTGTTGGAATGGTCAGTTGTCCACCTTCTTACGGCTGAAGCACAGAGGTGCGTTCGTATGTCCACCCTCTCACAACTGATTCAGTGTGGCTTTAAGTAAAATCATACCATTAGGTTTTGGTGGGAGGGTTAATTGTCTTTGTATCAGCCCTCCCTTGGATTCGCCAGCACCCGAATCTGTATTTTGTTAGCTTATGGAGTCAGGGTCTCTGTGAGACCAGTGCTTGGTGGCTGGGGAAACACAAATGTACTGTGTAAGGCTATGGGATGTCCAGGAGTGGTGCCATTTTTAGCATTCGGATACAAGACCTCATGACAGACTGACCATAACGATCAAAAACAAAGGTTCAGTTGTTCTTTCAACATCTGACATACGTGTCCTCCCTTTGGCTCTTACAACACGGAGTAGAAATACGAATCCATTTTGTGGCAGCTTACCGATCCTTGTTTGCACTCTCGCTTACTGCTTGGAACTTGCCAACAAGGAAAACGTATACATTTAATTTACATAACCTAATGGACGGCCACCCCTACTTTGGCTCTGGGGAGGAGCCTAAGGTTATAAACTCTGGCAGCTGAATAAGAAAACAATTAACCTTTTCTGTGATGCAGGTTTTGGTATTACGTTCTGTACACCTTGCATATTACTAAAATCCTCATTGTTGGGGAAAGCACACAGCAATATACTCATTGTGTGTAGCTGACAAGCAGCAGAAATTACTAGCTCCTCTGGTGCATATGTAACTAATTTCCAAATCATGGAAAAAAATAAAGTAAGAGTTTACTTTAACACACGACTGTTAACAGGAAAAAAAAAAGGCTAGTATATTGTTGCTGTTCATTTATTATATAATGAACACATTCATGGATTGTAAAGTGTTTCCTTTCATGACAAGCAGCTCTTGCACAGAACCTCCTAATGGAAAGAGATTTGAACCTTACAGAAGGAAAAAACCCCGAGATTTTAAATTGAACATTATTGTACCTTAGGTCGACCTGAAATTTTCCTTTGAAAGATGAATGTGCTAACTTAATGAGTTCTTCCACGCTGGGTATCCATGGCTTTGTAGATCTTATATTTTCAATAAAAATTACTCGAATAATCTTGAGTGGAAATAAAAAGGGTTCATTTGTTTTTACTTGTTCAGTTATTGCAGCTGGGGGCTGTTGCTGCCTCGAGCACAGCCAGTTCCAGGAGGCGTTTCAGGCACAGCCCTTCTCCTTTGGCTCCATCAGAAGCAGTCTGGTTGCAGGCAGTGCCATGGCTGTTCAAGCATGGGGTCTGGTGGCTGGACTGGGGGTCCTTGCCCCAGCCAACTCACAGCAGCATCCAGCGCTCTGACATCCCTCCAGGGAGGTGATTCTATTGCTGCAGAGCAGCCAGTGCAGCACTACCTAGGGATACAAATAGTATCCTAGTGCTGTGTGTGCTCCATGCCTGCATGTGTCTGTGTGTAAGTGCACAACTGCGCGTAATAGGAACAGGAGTGCAAAAAGCATTCTGCATGCTGCCAGGTTAAATACTGCCACTGCCTCGGCAGCTCTCTCCTGTATCATGATCGTGCTCTTTTCAGGTGGGGAGATGCTGCTGCTCAGCTGATCTATTTTCTCTGCAATTACCACATAGGAAATGAAGGAGCAGGGACGAGATTACAGGGCTGCCAGGTCTTTTCCTCTGTGGAAAGGGCTCTGGAGATGAAGTCATCCAGTTCTTTTTCTGGAGACACGGAGGTTTGGCCTCTTTCCTAAGGGAAGAGGAAAGGAAGGGCTTTCCCCTGTGGTACACTGGTGTCAGGAGGATACACGCCTCTTCATTGCTCTGGGGTTAGCTCTCCTCTAGCTCTGTGAGTGCACTCTGTCATCACAGAGAGGCAGAATAAAACCAAACCACCCTAAAACTCATAGCTTTTCATGTACATTCCCACTGCAGTTTGAAGGGTGAATCCTCCTCCCTGCCCAACCTGTCCTCCCCCGCCCACTGCAGCTCATTTGTTCATACCCAGAAAAGAGCAGCAGATCCTCTGTAACACAGTGCTCACCAGAGACTGGTCCTGCATTGCCTTACACAAACCCCAAACTTGGTTCAGAGCGAGTTTCACCAGATAAAAGCAGAAATAGGCCCTCACATATCCATGGGAAGGACAGTTTTTCATCTGGTATTTATAGACAAGTCTCTATCCTAATTTCTCAGTGTAGGATTTGGGATAGGAAAAAAGAATTAAGATCTAATACGACTTGCATCTAACAGAATTAAGACTTTGCCCTTAAGCACGGTTATTTTTGTTGACATGGATGTGTATGGGTTCAGCTAGACCACATGCAGCCTAACAACAGTTACTCCTCTTGATCTACAAACAAGTTACTGTCATAAACAGCACTATTATGAGCATCTGGCTGTACCCTCTGTGTAACCCATGAACTGAAATGCCAGAAGAGAGCTTGAAATGGGAAGAAATGAAGTTGTGTGTGTGTGAGCTCCATGGACAGAGCTCTGCCTGGTTTCATCCTTGGGGCCTCAACTCCTGCTTTCCCTGGGGACACTTGGCCATTGGTTGTGTATGGTAAGAGCCAGTAACAGCACTGATATTTAATCCGCTAACTCGCACTCCCCAGAATGGCTGGGAGGAGAACTGAAATCCCTTTAGCTACTCTTTAAGGATGAGCTGTTCTCCCTACAAACACTAATGGGGCAGACACATCAGCAATTAATTTCCTCTGCAGTGAATGGAGTCAATTTGCTTAAGTAACTGCCTAAATGCACTAGTTGTTAATGGGTTAAAGAGTTGTTAAAGAAAGAACCATCCAGGTGTGTTGTCACTACCTAGAGCTAAAACACAGGGGCTACACGAAACAGAAAAGGCCAGAAAACATGGGGTCACCTTGGATTTTCTCTACCTGGAGTATTGTAAATCCATGGCAGTTGAGTATTCCTGGGAGGCACGTCCAGCCAGAGCCTCACCCGTGGGCAAAGCAGAGAGAAGGTGCTCCTGTTTCAGAATGTCTTCCTCCCTTTTGCACAAGAGGCGTGAACCCTGGTTACACCATTTAGGTCAGTCAGAGTCTGTGTATTATAGCTTTTTAAGTGGGATTTTGGTGCATATGAAGCACTGGCAAGACAGCTTTCTGCTGATCACCAGTCATACTGTTACCTGAAGGTGTTAGTGAGTGGGTTCTGTGCCGGAGACCCTGGGTCCCAGAGCCACAGGAATGGTTGGTTCATTGCCCATCAGGTGTATTATACTGTACAGGTTCATTTGTATGCACGTGTGTGGTACTATGTTCTATAGCACATGCAGTATTGTGTTGTATCATTATCTCTTCATAATATGCAGATTTTTATACCTTTTGGGGGTTGTTTTTAATTTTTCATCATTTGTTATTTGTGTGTAGTATTTCTCCTCTTTGCAAGTCTTTGTGTATAGGCTTCATGGCTGTTTCATAAGGAGCTCACTGAGTTTTAGCAATTCAAGTCAATAGTATGGTACGAGGGTTGGAGTGCCGTATAAACTAAGGATCTTCTCCCTGTTGGCCCAGTGCAACCCCAATCATCATTAACATTACTTGTCCCTGACCATGGGCACTGTATGACTTTCCACCATTACATTTCTGAAGACCAGAACCAACCTGTAAAACAAAGTGCAAACGGAAATGCATTAGCGCCTGTTCTAAGTAATTATACTTGAAATCACTCCAGCTCTGTACAAGACAGGGAAAAAGGCACTAAAAGGCAGCCTCGAGTTCTGCATGTGTATTTTGTCAGATCTGACAGTCACGACACTGCTGATGTACAGACCAAGATGGGCATTTTACTTTGTTACTAGGAGAGCTGGGACAGAGCTTTGCAAGTCCCATCGTTGTGCTCTCTGCTGCAGTGTGCGACATCCACCGGAGCCTCTTTCAGTATGTCATATGTGCTGCACTTAACTACAGCAAAGTCTTTAAAATACAGAAATAGGAGCTTTAAGTTGAAATCATGGAAAGGAGCTCATTGATACCTTTATGTTTGATTCAAATAAGCTGAGCTGCTGAATCAGGAAAAATCTTCATGCACAAAGCATAGAAAACTGTTACCACAGCTTTCTTTGCAATTACTGCTATCACAGTATCACAAAGTATTAAAATACAACTCAGCTCTTTACTAGCTTATTATAAATCAGTCTCCAACAGCAAAAAAGGCTGTAAAAGACTCCTAGCAGTGCAGTATTTGGGGACAGCACCACTTTTCTCAGCACAATAAAGAACCGCAGAACCACATGGGGTATCACAATTATGATAATGTGAAGGCACTGTTTTTGTAAATCATGTACAATTTATAACCTATGTAGCTTCTTTTACAACATTTACAATGTCTTATGATTTGTTTATACAAGTGTTTATAGACGTTTCCTCATTTTGCTAATAATGGATGTTTCAAATTTAGTATTAAAATTCCAGAAACTTGCCTTGCCTATCAGAGTGAAACTGTTTTGTCAAGGCCTATTTAAATGGAAAGAAGCTTTAAACCAGGATTAAGTTCATGATGCTATAAAGATCAGTTTCCTCTAACAGAGGCAATTTAAAGTGGCTGCAATGGCAAAGTTCTCAGTTATTATTATTCCTGAAGCTGTGAATTACCCTGTCTATTTAAGGACCGTGGTGTTGCAAGAAGTGCATGATGATGGTGTGGTGGAGTGCTGGCATTACTGCTGCCAAGTGAGCTGCGTTTGGAAGAGCAAAGACTGCTGCTGGTAGGAGCTGGGTTTCCTATTGCCTGCTATGATGTTACAGTCCACAGGCTGAGGACACAACCCCATGAAAGCCCCCCAGAATCCTGCTGTCTGGTGTCAGCCCTGTGCAGAGGAACCCCTGCTGCACTGGGGAGGAGTGCTGATGGGAGAAGGACCAGGCAGGGCAGAGGCAGGGAGCAATCTGGTCCCATGCAGTCCCTGCCGAGGCCCCTGACAAGTCTTGGTGTGCTTCCCCACAGAGGTTCAGTTGCTTGTGAACAAAACCCACTGCAGACAGCCCGGTTGAGCAGCTCCGCTGGGGGTTTTCATACGAAATAGGGTCAGAAGAGTAAACAAACCATTTTCTAGGAAAGAAAATTAACCTTGGGTGTTATATGTCTAATACACCAGGAGCGTTAGCCCAAGCATGTAGGAGCTTCTCTTCTACTTATGACACCGAATCCAACAAAGCTGAAGAAAACTAATCACTCTGACCTGCTTTTCTGGGAATACAAGGTCTCGGAATGAAATCTGATGTTCCTCTAGAGAGAAGATGCATGTGCTTGGGGGAGAGAGCAACCTGGTGCCAAATTCCTGTCTTCTGACTTTGTTATAATAAAAGTTCACATAGCACTGCAAAAGCTGCTCTTAATTCAGAATATAAATGTGCATAAAGCAATGAACTGCCTTTTAGGACAGGGTGTTTCCTAAGAGCAGCTGTTACTCCAGCAATCTGCAGCAGGGACTTGTAACGTCATCGTGCTGCTAGCGGATGTGCAGTGTGATGCAAATGAAAATGACTTTATATTGTCCACGTATTATCTGTGTTGGTTTGGTTTGTTTTTTTTTACACAAACCAAAACAAAAGCCTTAAGTAGTCATAAGCAGATGATTTATATAAGAGTTTTTCAGCTGACAGATGTATCCCAGTGGAAGGGTTTATACTGGCCAGCTGCACTGCCTACATGCTCCTTGGCTGTTCTTCATAGCCTTGGCCAATGGGTAACCCATAGCTTTTCTCTAAGGTATCTGGCACAACAATGTTGTACTCTGCAGTGAAATAAATGCAACATAGCATCTGTGGAATAATGCAGAGCTAACACACATCCTTCCAGAAACATCTATGTTTTAATCTGCTGGAATGTACCATAAAGTGTCCTGTAAAGGCAATATATTATTTAAGCAACCTCTCTGTTTCTTGGGCACAGATGCAAAACAACTGGTACTAGAACGGCAAAAAAGAGTGAGTCTTTAATTGTGTTTTGACTGAACGCAACCAAGACAAAATGAATCGGAGAAAAACAATCTTCATCCACAAGGAGATGCAAAAGGAAACACTGCAGCACACAGGGCTGTGGCTGGGTGGGGAGATGGCTGTAAGCAATGTTGAAGATGTGTTTGTAGGGGAAGGCTGCTGCTTAATCTCTGCCCTAAAAGCCAGTCGATGGTCTGACAAATGAAAATTTGTTTCACTTTAGAGGCTTGTTCTTTCAAAATGAGAATTTTAAGTTCACACTGTTCTGACCTGAAATATTTCAATCTAGCCTGAATTCCTATGCCAGCAGGGATTATGAGATCATGCTGTCTGACAACTCCTCTTCCGTCCATCTGTTCTGCTCCTCCTTTCCTTGATAACTTTTGAACCTTCAGGCTAATTTTCACCAAATTTGACATAGCAGAGATAGGATGGAGGCTGCAATGATAATCCATGGCAAAAACTCATGAAAATTCTGTGTGTGAGTATAAAGAAATGAATTATTTCCTACACCGAATGTGCCTGAACACTGCCCCAGTTGAGCTCCTCCTTGTTTTCAAGAGGTGGCTGCTGGCCAGCACGTATGGAGCTCCAAACCAGCCTCAAAATGAGCCTATAGTCCTGCTGGCCCAGCTACACAGAGGGGGATGTGGGTTTGTGAAAGGCCACAGGGGAGGGGGATTGCTGTATGTGCGTAAGTCTGGAAAGAGGGAGAGGAACCAGTCACACAGGGAACTGAAGACATTAGTTGCAGTAGTCCAGCTAATGGATTTGACAGACAAAACTAGACAATCTTCTATCAGATGTGTCTTCTTTCATCTAGGAGGTGGACTTCAGTGGCAGAGCTGGATTGCACTAAGGACTTTAAGAAGATTTCTGTGTGTTTAAGATTTGCTTTTACTTGGGAATTTTTTCCATGGTATTTCATAAATACACTGGTATTTATGAAACTTAAAAAAAACCCCAACAAATCAACAAAACCCAAAACAATACATGAAGCACAAGCCTCCTAAATACTGCTACAGAAGTTGATTTTAGTGCAGTCACTGACTGAACTGAAATGCCAAAGTCTGATGCAATAAGATGGTGAAAGCTTTTGTTCCTTCCCCATTGGGAAGACGCAGTGCTCTGTCTGCAAGGCGATGTGAAAACTTCAGCTAGCCGAAACCGCAGCTGTAATCAGACTGTAATGTGACAGGGAGGAATTCAACACTACAGCGCTTCTTACCCACGAGAACTCACTGCCAGGTCAGGGTTTAATTCAGAAGTGTCTTGCGCAGACCATACTTTACCAAAAATCAACATCCTGCACTTTGCAGGGGATACAGGCGCTGATTCTGATCCAGAAATCCCCATGTCAGTTGTTCCTAGCTGTGCTGAGCTGCAAGGTTGCTCATTTCCCTGTGCTGATTCACTCCAACAATTGCATTGAGTAAGATTAGAGAAGCTGCAGGTTTAGGAGATGTGGTGGGAGGGCTCAGCCACCCACATAACAGCCCAGGTCAATGCCTCACTAGGGCGAAGTGTAGACAACATTTCTGGATGCAATAAATGACACTTTCTAGAATAACTGACCTTAGAAACCACAAGAAAAAACCCACCATTCTGAATTTAGTCTTCGGCAGTGCAGAGGATCTCATTCAAGAGCTGTTAGTGGGTGAGCTGCTCCATAGTAGCAACCACAGTATAATTAGCCAAATAAAGCAAACGGATACTCAATTTTAAGAAAATGACCTATGCAAAACCAGGGGAAAATGCCAGAAATCCCTAAATGAGCAGTTCAGAAGTGAGAAACCTACAAACGCCCAGGCGTTTAAAAAATATGGGACTAGAAATGTCTGACACAAATAGAAAACCATGGCCCAAACCTCTCCCCTGCATGACTAAAGGAGAAAGGGAAGGAGGCTATTGCGAGGCAAGCAGGGAAGCCTGGAGAAAGGTGGCACGTGGAATGTAGACCGGAAACAAAGATGGTTAAACATGAAGAATGGCTGATAAAGGACGTTCAAGCTGTCAATGATGTTTACACGATGCTTGAATCAGAACCAGCCCTCGCTAGGCTGAAGGGGTTCTGCAGTCACGGCTGAGGGCTTTTCTGGTGGGCAGCAGCAGCCAGAAAGGCAACAGGGATCATGGTAAGGAAGGGCATTGGTGATGACTTTAGTACACCTTGGTGCACCCACACCTTGAGGACTGGGTGCAGCCTCGCCTGTGCACCTCAGCAGGGTGCAGCGGTGCTGTAAAAGGTGCCTGTGAAATGGTGGAGGGAATGGAGCACCCGCTTTGCAGTGCCCAAACCCACATGGGAGCAGACAGAGCCAAAGAGAAGTGTACCGGTGGTTTCCAGACCGCCATGAAGGGCATGGGTTAAGAGAAGGGTTTGGCATTCACCAACCCCTGCAACGCCAGCACCAGGCATTGTTTGAACAGGATTAGGTGAGGATTAAAGAACAATTACATTTAAGGAAGCGTTATTTTAAGCTGCAGGTTGGATTTTTTTCTCAAAGTTTTGCATTTGGCTGAATTTTGCAAAGCTTCTGGGGGTACCACCAGGTTCAGAAAGGTGTTACACAAACTCACGGACATAAAAGCCCATGAAAACACGATGACAGAACTAAGCAGGGATGAATTACTAATAGGGAAGCTGTGCACACACGAGCGCCCAGCGTGAGCCACCTCCCTCAGCTTTGAGGAGGCCGGTGGGCACACATGGCTGAGGCCCGGCGTTGCTCAATGCCAAGCTGCAGCCTGCTCTCCGCCATCCTCTTCCCTCCCCTGCGCTGGGTGCAACGGGACACGCCAGAGCGACCGGATGGAGGCGTGAGGGCGGCCGGCAAGCACCAAGACACCGAGCTCCGACCGGCACCCCCTGAGGCGAAGCTCCGCCCCTCCGCCCGCCTGCGTGACGTCACCGGGCAGAGGGCAAGCGCCGGCCAATCCCGCGTCCCGTATCGGCGACGGGCGCTTGGGGGGGTGCGCGCGCAGGCGTGTCTGGGCGGCCGCGCGAGAGCGGCGCGTGGCGGGCCTTTCGAGCCGCCGGGGCGCGCGCGCTCCCTCAGGCTTCCCGCCACCTCCCCGGGGCGCTGAGGTGAGTATCGGGGTCCGGGCCCGCTCGGAGCGGGGCGGGGGGAGCTCAGCGGCCGCAGCGCCTCCTCGTCCCCCCCTTACCCTGCTCCGGGCGACTCTAGGCCGAGATCCCACTTGGCGCTGTGGGCAGCAGCTGCACCGCAGCTGGGACTCGGCCGGAGGGTGTTTCTGCGCCTCCCCTGAGGGTCCCGTTTGCGCGCTGAGGTGGCTGTGGTGATCTGGGGACGGGAATGGTGGACAGCTTCCTCAGGGGTCTTAAGATACTTGTGGTGTTTGATGGCGGCTTGAGCGGCCGTGCATAAGCGTACATAAAGGTACGTGACCTCTTTTGTGTTTATTAGCCCTGTTTTAGTGGGGAAGACAGAGGGCAGTTGCAAAGCTGCCCTGGGGCATGAAACTTGCAAAGCAAATTGTGTTTCTTGTGTAATCCGTAAGTGTAAGCTACATTAAATACACACCGAATTTCAGAAGGGTGCTTTTAGTTGTTAAGCACTCATGTCCTCCAGGCTGGCTGAGAGAGTGGGGTGTTCTGTGGGACGCATGTTCCACCAAGCTAAAAAAAACCCGACCAACCAAGCTGGATATTACTGCAGAATTGCAGAAAAGGCCTTCTGTCTTCCTTGATAATTCATGGAATCGTAGAATGGTTTGGGTTGGAAAAGACCTTAAGATCATCCAGTTCCAATCCTCCTGTCCTGTTTGCTGCTTGCACTCACCTTAGGATCCCAAAGCTAGTTTGGTTGCTGGGTGTTCCCCAAAGCATCAAACCCCTTGTCATTTTTAAGTTGTGACTATTTTCACTGGAGTATTTACACTGATATTAACTTTTTTATACTTTGTCAAAGCCCTGCATTATTGTGTTGAGATATTTTTACGTTAACAGATTCCTTGTTCTGTTCGCAGAGGAAACTTTAAAATGAAGGTCCAGAAGACAAGATTCTGTTTGTTGCAGAAGTAAAATCTTTATAAAGAAGATCTCAAAGTGCAGTGTAATCTCACTGTTTAGTTTTTAGAAGAAGCTGAAAGCTCCTCTCACTTTGGAAGCTTGATTGTGGGTGGGTGTTTTTGTTTTATTTAATGTGAGTAAAACTATATGAGTGAATCACTTCTGCAGCCAGTGAATTACTCAATATTTACACTTGTTTCTTTTAAATTTACTATTAAAACAGAGTACCAGGATTAATTTAAGTGAATTAAGGAAAAACATAGGTGTTTGCAAAGATCAGGCATCTAATTGAGGGAAAAAATGTGTCCTGATTTGATGAAAAATTGTATTAAAGAGATCCCTGAAATAAAAATTGGTTTATAGTCTTTGAACATCTGATCCAGAATAGCATTCAGTTTTCTGGGTGATCTGACACTTCCTTTTCCCTGTGCAGACTCTTTATATTAAAATACTGAATGTTCATTTAAAATGACGCCAAAATTACAGCTGGAATAATACCCCAGATTTTTTCCATGTATTTGGATCTTTTCTTTTTACAAAAAAAACCCGAACCCTAAAACTTTAATCATGAACTGTGGAAATGATTTTGTGGCAATTCTCAAGAAAATTGGATATCCAAAAGCTGATGAGCTTAAAGGAGATGATTTTGACTGGCTGGTTGAATCTTTGAAAAGCAGATCATTCCTGGAGTGTTTTTTTAGCAATATAAATAAGCAGTATGTGGTATCTGAACAAGAACTGCAAGAGTTTGATAATTTTCGTGAGTCTGGTAAGCCCGTTTTGGAAGGAAATGCACTGGATGAAGTCCTTAAAACTCTGAAGCCTGTGGATTCAAAGAGCAGTAGACAAGAGGAGGAGGAACTGAAGACATTAAAGGATGAGCTTCAGATTCTTCAGAAGTTAAAAAAACTTCAAATTCATCGGTATAATAAGCTTCAAATGATGGTTTCTGAAAACAGCCATCTGTTACAGATGTTAAAAGGCAGAGAGAAGGAAGCACGTAAAGAATTAAAAGAAGGATTGGAGGTGTTTACTGTGGCAGCTAATGAACTTAACAATGAACTGCTGTCTTTTACGGATGCAACTAAGAAATGGGCCTCTTTCGTTACTGCTTCAGATTCAGAACAAGGGTCAGATCCACAGCCAGTTTTTTTTTCCCAACTTTCTTTGGACAAGTATTTGGCTCAGGAAGAAGAAAACTCTGCAGCTCTTAGCTCACACATAAACAAAAGTTTTGATCAAAGTGTGTCTAAATGGGTTGAAAATTCACATGAAGGCAGCTTTCAGTTTGCAGATGTCAGTGAACAAGACACTTGTGAGGAGACTAATGAAATCTCTGAGGAGACTCAAGAGGTGGTCAGGCTCCAGACAGCATATATTTGTGCTCAACATCAGCTAATTCACATGCAAGCCAAAGAGGAGAGCCTGAATTCAGCTATAAAGTGTGCAGAGAGCATGTTGCAGTCCTTAAACAGCAAGGTAAGCCACAAGAGGTAACAGAAGGTAGTAGAGTTCTGAACAGGCAGGCATGGTCAACTGGGTGTAGTAAAAGAAAATGCTGAGTTACCGCTCTTTTAGCTGTTTTTACATAATGAGATTGTACAAGTTCTAGTCTTGATCACAAAACTACTCTTGTGAAATAGCTCCAGTTTCTATAGTTAGGAATTTTTCAGTATGGAGTACCTTTAATGCTGCTTTCCAGAATTAAAAAAAACAACTACCTTAAAAGCCCCAGGACTTAGTAGTACCGTTCTAGTTTAGTTTAACTTTGTATTTTCAAATGATAAGTGTTTCTCAGTTATTTGTGCAGAAAAAAACAAAAGCTTAACTTTGCTTGACATTTTGTGGTGCTGAAGAGCTAATATGATTAATGAATTCTTGTTTGTATTCTATAGCATAAACTTAAAAAGTTTTAGTTTGCTGACTTTTTGAAACTCGGGTATTTGTACCAAATAAATGAATCTGATAGTTGAAGCCCCAGAAACCTCTCAACAAGTGAGTGATAGACAGATATGGCTACTGGAATTTAAGAAATTGTAATAGGAGAAAACACATTAGCTTGTGCCAGTCATGGACTAACTTAAGGCATCATGTCAGTTGGTGTGTTTTCATTTATGGATGACTAGCATATAGGACTTGATTACAGTTATTTGGAAAAGATTGATTTTGGTAGCAGTGTTGATAATCATCCGACTGACTATCAAAAATTGTGCTTGAGAGATTTCAGTCATAGAAGAGAATAGTTAGGGTTGGAAAGAACCTTAAGATCATACAGTTCCAACACCCTGCCGTGGGCAGGGGCACCTCACACTAAACCATGTCACCCAAGGCTCTGTTCAACCTGGCCTTGAACACCGCTGGGGGTGGAGCATTCACAACTTCCTTGGGCAACCCATTCCAGTGCCTCACCACCCTTACAGTAAAGAACTTCTTCCTTATATCCAATCTAAACTTCCCCTGTTTAAGTTTTAACCCATTACCCCTTGTCCTGTCACTAGAGTCCCTAATGAAGAGTCCCTTCCCAGCATCCTTGTAGGTCCCCTTCAGATACTGGGAGCTGCTCTGAGGTCTCCATGCAGCCTTCTCTTCTCCAGGCTGAACAGCCCCAACTTCCTCAGCCTGTCTTCCTACGGGAGGTGCTCCAGTCCCTTGATCATCCTCATTGCCCTCCTCTGGACTTGTTCCAACAGTTCCATGTCCTTTTTATGTTGAGGACACCAGAACTGCACACAATACTCCAAGTGAGGTCTCAGCAGAGTAGAGGAGCAACATCACCTCATTCGACCTACTGGTCATGCTCTTTTTGATGCAGCCCAGGATGCAGTTGGTTTTTTGGGCTGCGAGTGTACACTGAAGCTGGCTTATGTTAAGTTTCTCGTCGACCAACACCCCAATTCCTTCTCTACAGGGCTGCTCTGAATCTCTTCTCTGCCCAACCTGTAGCTGTGCCTGGGATCCATTGCTCTGACCCAGGTGTAGGACCTTGCACTTGGTGTGATTAAACTTCATAACATCAGCCCACCTCACAGGTGTGTCGAGGTCCCTCTGGATGGCATTCCTTACCTCCAGCCTGTCAACGGAACCACACAGCTTGGTGTCATCGGCAAACTTGCTGAGGGTGCACTCAATCCCACTGTTTATGTCACCGACAAAGATGTTGAACAAGACTGGTCCCAACACTGGTCCCTGAGGGACATCACTCGTTATTGGTCTCCAGCTGGACATTGAGCCATTCACCACAACTCTGTGTGTGGCCATCCAGTCAGTTCTTTACCCACCGAGTGGTCCATCCATCAAATTGATGTCTCTCCAATTTAGAGACCAGGATGTCGTGTGGGACAGTGTCGAATGCTTTACACAAGTCCAGGTAGATGACATCAGCTGCTCTACCCCTGTCCATCAGTTCTGTAGCCCCATCATAGAAGGCCACCAAACTGGTCAGGCAGGATTTCCCCATAGTCAAACATGCTTGAAACCTGGGTGCCAAGTAAAATACAGCTCTTCTGTTTTCAACAGAATAAGTGTTTCCTGGCCCTGCAAAAGAATGAAATTACTGTTTTTTTTTGAAATACATTTATTTGATACCTACGTTGTATTTGCCTTATGTTGTAAAGTTTTATAAAACTGCCTGTGAAGTTCTTATTTAATTTTATAGATAGAAAAGATGCAGTGATTTTGATGTAACAAGAGTACATGAATCTTGGATGAACTGCATAAATATGTTAGGGAAGTGGCTTGGAGGGAACCAGGAAGATACTGACAGATATTTTGTTTTATGCAGGATATTGGGGAACAAGAAAACCTCACTGGCAAAATACCTGGTTTAAGTGATGAAATTTCAGCAATTAAAGAAGATATAACTCGGATAAACAATGAAGAGCTGATGCCCCTTCTGAAGGAGAAGGCATCACTTCTGAGCATGCCTGTGGAGAAATGCTACTTGGAGCATCAGATTGCTCAGCAAGAGTATTGTGCTTCAAGACAAAATGAAATATTCAGGCATTTGATAAGACAGAAGGCATCATTTGAACTTATTCAGCTAGACTGTGAAATGGAGTTTAGGAGAAATAAGAAGATCTCCTGTCAACTCGAGAAGTTGGTAGAATCTCTAAAACAGCGCGCTGATGAGTTGCAGCAGAGCCTACAGGAGAAAACTGAGCAAATTAAACATGCACAGCCAAGAAACACTATTAGTTCAAAGGATGGTTTCTCTTTCAGGTAAGCTTTATAGTCACTGTTGAACTTTGACATAATATTGGGGAAATAAAGGCTTAGGCAAGCTAAGCCTTTAGTCTTTCTGAGTTCTTAGTTACTTGCTAATTAGTATTTTAAATTCTGAAGAACTTCAAGATGAGACTAGCCTCTTGCTTATGCTTTGAAATTATTTTCAGGTTTGCCTGAGTCAAAACTGTTCAATTATCAGACTTACTAATATTGCTGAAACATTCCTAAGCAGCTTCCGGAATATAACAGAAGTTTAAAGCCAAACCTGTCTTTTATAAGTGCCCTGAACTACAACCTCTTGAAAGTTATTCTAGAAGTATAGATCTGGAAAGCTGTAAATGATAGTGATTTCCCAGATCGTATGCATGGCCTCAGCAGCTTAGCCTGCAAAACCCCCCGTGTGGTAGAAGAGAGGAACGACTTCTTCAATATGGGAAAAGGGTTTAGCTCGTTTTTACTGCCTGATTTGCCCTCTGCCTTAAGGGTCCTGTCCCCACGGAGGAGTCTGTTTTTCACCAGCAAAGTAATGAAGTCTCCTTGTAGCTCAGGTGATACAGTAGGAATGTGCACTGTGTTGCTGTCACATCAAGACTCTAAACCTTTTGATGAGGTGTACTGTATAATTATAGGTGTGTTAACGTCAGACTTTCTATCTGTTAAAACTGTGCTTTATGTTTTTTAATAATAAAGTGATAACTGAGTATGGGCTTGCACAGTGGATAATTGCAAGAATTAGGCAGCATTAATTTTGCTTCCATTGTGTTTGTGTTGGCAACTCGTAACATTTTTGTTCAGGTTTATTATTAATGTTTCCAAATTGCTGAATGCCATCTGGCTATTTATCACTTTGTTTGCTTGGTTTAGTTTTATCCTTTTTCAAAGGAAAAGGAAGTTGAAAGAGTTACAAACCCTAAAGGGTTTGCTATTAATTCACATCAGCCAATGAAGTCTGCTGGCTTTCAGCACTTAAAAAAATTGCATCTTACTTTGTAGCCCTGGAAATATCAGGAAATAATTGGCAAGAGCACACTGACAATGTCTGTTTGCATTCTTTTGGTGCTTACTAACTGGTATTGTGGTATTTCATTGCTGTTAATTTAATATTGAAATATTTTTGACTCTTGTTAATCACATACTAGCTATAAATAGATAGGATCATGAAATCAGTGGGAGAAGGAGTAAAGAGTACCCTGAGCAGTATTGTCCTTTAGTAGTCCTCTGACTTCTCAGGATGAACATTTTCTCTTGAGTAATAATGACAGGATTGCTTAGGAAACTTAAAAACGTTTGTGTGTCTTAACTTCATTTGTTACAGGCTATATCAGCTTCTGGAAGGAGAAAATAAAACCCAAGAATTATTTAAAACATACAAAGGCTTGGAGCAGATGGCTCAGAAGTTAAAGCAGGACTGTGCTACAGCACAAGATCAGCTAGCAGCCTCTTCTCAAGAACAGTCTCTCCTTTTGTCCAAGCTAGAAAGTGATGTACATACCCTTTATGATGAGCTGTATCATGGAGGAGGTCGAATACAACTCAGTAATCAGGTAAGCCGTTATCTACTTACTAAAATTATTACACTTAATATGTCATGTTCTTCTCCTGAGAACACCATGGTATGAAGGCTGTAGGCACACAAACTGGCTCCCACATGTCAGCGACAAATTTCTTGGCATAATGATAATGGATGCAGTACTTTGTTCTTAGCAAATGCTGGATTTTGTAGGTGTTGGCAGATAGTGATTTCTTGTTACTGAGCAGATCGTTGCATCTAACTTCATTTCTTCCAAAGGCATATCCAGTCCTGTATTGCTGGCAAGTTTATGGTATGGGTAATAAGTCATCTGGATATGGTATCACTAGAAAACGATTTAAATTTCTCATTCTTTCAGGTGGGTTTTTTTCCCCAGTTACCTGTAACACCTCAGTAGTATGGTTTGTTCCCTTAAAAAGCCTGGCCATAGGTGGCTCATTTGGACAATATAACAGCATCAGAATTTTGAAGGACAGTTGTAGTAGGGCAACCCTGCTGCAGAGCTCCCAGCTGATAGATTCAGAGCCTCTTTTAAATGGGAGTTGGGGTACTTAAATGCAACTTGTTACTTTTTTTTAATTGTAGATACCTCAAAGGTGGATTGAGGTAGTCTTCTGTTACATTATACTTCTTTGGTTAAATACACACAAATATGTTTATTGCTGCCATCTGTCAAGTGTATTTGCAACATATAGAAGAGTTTTTATAACAAAATGAAACTGTGATTGGAGCAATACGTGTTTAGGGATTATAGGTTATTAATCAAATGCCTTTCTGTTGATTCACATTGCCTCTTAAAACAGTGACATCTCTATTGCTGCTGTTTCTTAAGAAAAGCAATTCCTTTAATAAGGAAATAATGTGGAAGATGAGTGGCCTGCTTGCACTGAACTATCTTAAGAGTGACAGTTGGGAAAATTGTAGCTGTTAATTAATGATTAAATTTTAAAATTGCATGGGCTTTTCTGTTGTAGTGGGGTGTTTTTTCTGTTCCCTTGTAAGATAGGAAGACTTGTTAAATATGTCATTCAGCCATCTGTCCAGCTGAAGGCTGGGTAAAGAAGGAAATGAATTTACATTTTCATAACCTGATGTGAGTACTGTTACACAGAGCTCAAAAGTTATGTGAATTAAGTGGAATTCCTTAGCACCTGTCTTTCTATTATCTGTGATGACTTTTCAATTACAAGAAAAGTTGCTTTCAAAAGCAAATAAACTTTTGTATTTCTAGTTCAGGTAATGTATTAACAATAAAAAAGTAATTTTTTATTTTGTCTTGTATCTTTTGTTAGGAACTTGTTGAGCAGTTGCAGCAACTGGAAACCAATGTAAATAAATTAAACAAACTCCTTATTGATCTGATGGCTGATGTGAAGTCAAAGAGAAGCTTTTTAGAGTCCAATAAGCTGCTTCAGATGGAAAGAAGCTTGTATGTGTATTTTTATACAGATGAAGATCGCTTGAAAGAGATGGTGGAGAAGCTGGAGCAGCAGGCTGAGGTGAAAGCCCATGCTCTGGCAGATGAGCATTTTGCCACCAGTGGAGTTCTCAATTTTTAAACTTCAGTGTATTTTTAAGAAAGGAAAGTATGTTAATGTAAACTGTCTGTAAGCTTATGGAATGATAACTATTGGTTTATCAAGGCTAACATTTATCTACCATTGTGATGTATGTTTTAACTGCCACAGTTACCGGCTTTGGGTTGTATGCTGCTTTATGGCTTTTGGCATCTGCCCACTGAGTTCACATCTCGGTTTTGTCACAGTTCTTCAATACGGAGTAATACATTGGTTATTTAAATGAATTGCATTCAGGCTGGTCTTCTGCTAGCCTTTATGTTGATTTCCAGTGCACACAGCATAGCACAAAAAAGAACATTTTCTGCATATGGAATAGATTTTCTTGCATGCTAAGAACTTTTGATATGTGAGCTAACAAATAAACACAAGGCATTCCAGATTTTGGAACAAGAATGTAATGTGCTCATTCTGAAGAGGAGAGTTCTCTTCAGGATATGCCGTGATTGTTTCCCGTATAGTTCTTCTTATGAAGATTTGGTGTTGCTAGAAATATGTTGCAGTATGTACCAGAATGTTTCAAGTACCACAACCATCTACTTTAAGACCATTCCGATATCTTTTAATTTACCTTACAGCCTGTCTTTTTCCTTGAAATCAGTCCCTATTCATCCTGAGCTCTTCAAAGAAGAATAATTTTAAATTGACCTTCTGGACTCTAAAGTTTTCTCTGTCTGTCAAGGCAAAGCAAGCCATTCTGCCTCTCTCTCCCTTTCATATGCTTACTGTAAATTCCAGCTGGATAGATACAACAAATACTAATGTAGCCTGATGGATCATCCTCTTTGAATCTGGATACAAATATCTGTACTTGTAAGTATTCAAACTTGCAATCTGTCAATGGCCTTGAGCTAAGAAAAAAATTTCCCTGTAAGCAGAGGAAATATTGTCAAGGTTCACCATCAAGGCAACATTTGTCTCAATGGATTTAGTGGGAGATGACCAGAGTAATAGGGCTCCAGTTACTAACTTGTACAGCAGCAATTTACCTAACAGCAGATTTTGGCAGAGCAGTTGACTTGTACAGCTTGCATCCTCTTAAGTATTTTTAAAATACTGGGTATTTATTTTGTCTTTATGGTAAGTTTTATACATTGTTCTGGTCTAACTGTAAAGAAAACAAGTCATCAGTATGGACACTGTTGTTTCTGATTCTCCTGTATGTGTTGTATCAATGGGCTCTTCAAGTATTTTGTAAGTATTATAGAACATGGGTACAGGTCAACTGGAAAAGCAGCTGCTTTTTGAAAAAGGATAAAATTTGGAACAGCAGTAGCTGCGGTCAAAGGTTGTAGAGACTTTAGATGTTGCTGACCTGTTTCTTAAATTAACAAACTATAGTAACTATTTCAAAATTATTAAGATTTAATAGTACTTGAGTACATCAATTAAGTTTAAGAAACAGAGGTCTTCTGTAAGTATTTTCTGAAACAACACATCACTAATGTTTATATATATTGTGATAGGAAGACCTGTTTCTTTCATCCTGTATTGGCTCTGGTTTTGACAGTTATTTGAAAGTGTTTTTTTCTTGATAAAATGTGGGCAGCAATAATAGTAAATGTATTTACATGCTAGATAAAACTAGTTTAAAGATGCTGAGAAGGGGAGGTGGTTCATGTGTAAATGGTAATTGTTTTATTTGTCATGGTTTTTGTATTGGAAATCAGCTGAACTTAATAGGACTGATTTTATAAATGTATTAAAATTTTCAAAGTAGTTTTTGTAAATTACTGCAGTTTGATGATTTTTATTTACAATACATAACTGATAGTAATGTCAGAGGAGTTGTTCAGCCATTCATTCTCAATAGAAAGTGACGTGCACTGTATTTTGTCTTAAATTTCAAAAGAATTGAAGTGTGGGTTGTTCTGTGGCTCTGATATAATGCATTATTTGCATGTGTTTTCTGTTTAGGTTTAATCTTAAAAATGGAACAGTATGCATCATACATAGGATGTGAGATTTCTAAAGTGCCTTTATCTGATAGCGCTCAGAGAATTATGTCAGCTTTGCAATCTATTCCTGTAGAAGTTCAGACTAGCAGAAAAAAGAACCAGAGTGAGTAAATCTCAGCCTATTTAAGCATTTCCATTTTCAATTGAAAAATTGAAACCCAAACAAATAAACCGGTATCAAATCTATGGTCCCTATTTAAAAGAAGAGAAAGGTGAGTGTTTAGATTTCCAGGGTTAGAAAAGGAGTTCAGCTGTAACTGTGACATTTGCTGGGGCTTTTCTGATTGAATACTACTATACAAGTGCAAAGAACTAGGTAGGATATTACCGGTATCCTCAACTTCATTGTTTTATTTCCTGTCCCTGCTAAGTGGTATAGAATTAGATGAGAATTTCAAACTGTCAATTAACTAATACTGTAAATTCAATGTATACAGTAACTTGACTCTGGACTAGATATTTGAAGATCACTAGAGGTACTGAGAACTTGCCAGAAGGCCTGTAAACTCTCCAGACTCATGTTTGTCCTTTGAACACATGTTCATTAGCAACTTGCTCCTTGTGAAATTCTAGGGTGAAGAGTGAATAGAAGTCCCAGAGATAGAGTGAATTAGCTAATGTTAGAAATGCTTCAGCAGATCTCTGACTGTTGAGCAAATTTTAGTCAGAATGTTGTGGATACTATGGAGGTTTTGCAAGATGGAATTTTTATTCTCAGTTCTGTGCATTTCACAGAATGTAGCTCTGGAAAGAAGTAGATAGAGTTGTGCTTCATTTCAGTTGTCTCTTTTCCCCTGAGAACTAGATCCTGGCACATCTGGTCAAGGCGATTCAGATCTAGCACTTGTCCTTGTGTACATGGCGTTTGTTGCAGCCTCTGGTTTATTAAATGACAGATCAGGTGGTTCTTTCAGTGGCAAAGTAATGGATGAGTGGATCCTGATGGTGGAGCACTGAAAAGGATAGTTCATTGCTGCGTAAATCAGTGATACTTTAAATACAGAAGGTGGGTTCATTTTAAAATGGTACATTTGGACCAAACCCGACATTATTTTAAAGAAAATCTGATCCTTCTTCTGCCTCAGTTTAATTACTGTTTCACTTTTCTTGCTATTGTGTCATTTTCCTTTCCTTAATTTTCTTGTGTGATGTTCTTTGTCATAGACTGTAGAACTCTGTGCTGTGTGATATCTCTGCCATGTGACCTTGGCCACTCTTGATCCATTCATTCCATGTCAAGCTGTAAAAAACACCCTGAAGGTGTCTGGTATCTTTAGTCAAATGAACTTGCTGTCCTTGTAGTGCTGTGAAATCCTTATTCCCTAGGGAGTGTAAGAACAGGATAAGCATTTAGTGGTGGCAGGTCACATGACTGGCTTTTCTTGCTTTTGTTTTCCATATAGTGATTATGTTTGTTTCTAGTGCTTTAAGAGCAAACTTTATTTGAATTGTTTTAAGGGAATTGTTTGTGTGTGTATATATATATATCTATATATCTTTAGCTGGATCAACATGGATCTGCAGAGAAGAAAAGGTTTGCCTCCCTTAAAATAAAAATCAAAACCCAACTAAAACCCTGTCATGTTAATTGGTCTATTTCAAACTTTAATGAACTCTGTTTGATTGATATATCTTTAAAGATTAAATTCTGCTTACTGGAAAATCTCTCTTTGGAAGTTAAATACTGGGTTCAATAGGGACAAATACTTGCACTGTTGAACTAGCGGGTGAAATTCTCTGGTTACCTTAACAGTAGAGCTTGTAATGTTCCATGTAGTGTCAAGGACTTAGGAGGCAAGGATGGGTTTCTACTGCCATCTGGTGATACTTTTTCATAAACTAGCAATTTGAGGTTGCATAGCTCTTTAGATAACCGCCGCACTGAATACTGAGTGCTGAAAGAGAGAAATGTAGTTGTCATCATCTTCTCTGGAGAGTGAATTTGTCAAGAAAAAATGTCTGTGTATGAAACAATGAAAAGTATTGAATATAAACTCAGTCACTGTCATTCTTTAATTATAATTTTATTGTTGTAGGAAGTGTTAAGAAAAACAAACCTAAAATGAAGCTACAGTTACAGCCAGATTCACTGTTGTAACAGCTCAGGTTAAAAGTCTGAGCTGGAGTTAAATAACTGATTATACACATAAACCAGTATGAACCTGCATTTACTACTATAGTAATCTTAGTTTCTTATGGAGACTAAGCTAGTTAGTCTTTGAAAATGCTTTTTTGAGTGTTTTAAGTACAAGGTCCTGATTTGCCAAGGTATCTTTTTTTTTTTTTCCTTTTTTTAACAGCTTCAGTAAATAGAGATAGATCATCTTATGATCAGTTTGACATTGGTCATCACCACATTAGGTTCAGAAAGTGTCTTACTGCTGGCAGTACAAATTTCATAGCTGAAAAGAGTAGTGGAGTATTTGACTCGGTATGGAAAAGAAGTCAGGAGGGAACAAAATGCATATTCTACCCATGAGGTGTCCCCATGAGCTGGGCAATAAAAGAATCTTGAGATAAAGGAATCCCAACTAATTGCAAAATCTGGAGAGACCCCCAAATATTGCTGGCCTGTTGCTCCTTCTTTTATTCCAGTCTTCACTTCTCTTCTTGGGGCTGTCGGGCAGTGTTGAGGACAGAAAAGAGAAGGCATGTCCTGACTCATTTAGCAAGGTGCAGAGCCCTAAGGTGCATTTGCAAAGCAGCTTTTATGCTACAGCATCTCTGCTTTTAGTGCTGTGTGGTAAATGTCACTGGTGGCTTAGTGGTGGGCCAGGCTGGCAGCTGTACTTGGGCACAGTTTGGCAGCTCTGAATTTTTGTTCTTGCCTGGTCCTGTGATACCTGTTTACTACAAGGATGAGGAATGGGAAAAAAAATTATGCTTTGCAGATAAAGCATGGTCAGTTCTCTGTAGGGTACAGTATGCTAAAAATGTATAAGCAAATAATGTTTTGCTGAAGAAAATTATTATGCCTAATTCCAAGAAAACAGTTAAACTGCTTAAGAGACCAAGATGGATCTGTTTTCTTTAAGGAAGGAAAGATGAATATTTATGGTATTACCATAATGCCTTTTAATACTGTGGAAAATGTTTGCTTTATAACAAATTTGAATTCATTTTTTCTTAATGGGGGCAGAGCACATATTTAGGAACCTGCAGGGCCCTTTTAAGCATGAATGGTATTAATTTGAGGAAAATGGTTGTCATGGAAAATTTTATTGCAATTACTTTAGGTTTGGTAGCATTGTCAGTAATGTAACACTGTA